CGTCTTTTTCCTTTTATGATCGAATCATTATGAGCATTAATGATATTAATGAGACGTTATAATTGGTAATCGTAACTGTTCATGAAGATTCTGTAACGTTTGTGATCATTCACGCTCATTCATTGACGATTCATGAATCTTTCCTTTTTACTGTCTTGATTCATTCTGCCGGTGCCTCTTTATTTAACTACTTAGACTCGAGCGACTATATCCTTTTATCTCGTGGGTAATTTTCTCATATCTGTTATAACTCGTGTCTCTTTTAATGCATCTCTCCAGCTGTCGTTTATTTTAGTGATCCACGTGCCTTGCCATATCAGCCACATATTTAATTTCACGTGTAATATTTATTTTTACCAATACATACCCAACTGGATGGACTGCTGGAGCTTGATACTGGGGAGTCATCTGCTCCGGAGCGGGAGTAGTGGGAGTCTGTGCTGCTCCCCCAACTTGTGAGACCCCATGTCACCTTTGTTCGTGCCAAATGATATTGCTGCATGGATACAAAATTCTCTGTGAAAATCAATGGACAAGGTTATGGATACTTAATTTGAAGGTAAAAGAGGACCGAGGAAGGGAGACCCCATGTCACCTCTTCTGTTTATGCTCGTAATGGAGTACCTCTTAAGGACATTAAATATGATGAGGGAACTCCCTGATTTCAAATACCATCCTATGTGCAATGCCCTTAAACTCACTCACCTAATATTTGCGGACGATTTAATGATCTTCTGCAAAGGTGACACTAGATCAATAGCAAGGGTAATGGAAACACTAGAGCATTTCAGTAGAGTTACTGGACTAGTGGCCAATGTGGACAAATCTAATATTTTCTTGGCTGGAATAGATGAAGTAACTCAGGCACTTATACTAGAAAGTACAGGATTCTCTGTAGGTACTTTACCTATTAGGTATCTTGGCTTGCCACTGTCATCAAATTAAGAAATGGAGCAAAACGGATTGCCATCAACTAATTGGTAAAATCACACATAGGATAGCAAATGCATACTCAAGGAAGCTGTCCTATACGGGGAGATTACAGATTACAAATGTTGTGTTGTTCTCTTTATATAACTTTTGGGGGGCTGTTTTCATTTTACCTCAGAGTGTGCTTAAAGAGGTGGATCAAAAGTGTAGGAGTTATCTCTGGAGGGGGGTGGGGGGTGGATCTAGTTGCATGGGAGAAAGTGTGTGTGCCAAAAAAGTATGGAGGCCTCAATATAAAGAACTGTAGGCTATGGAATATTGCTGCAGTAGGGAAACTACTATAACAACTAGCAAAGAAGGAGGACATTTTATGGGTTAGGTGGGTCCATGGAGTATATATGAGGACTGAAAGTAATATTTGGAAACATAAAGCTCCACTGCAACTGGTATTGGAAGAAGCCAAATTCTCTCAAAGGCCTTATGGAGAGTTGGTATGAGAATGGGATATACACACTAACTCCTAATGGTGCTTATTTAATGACAAAGAGTTACAACATGCTATTAGGGGAGCAGATGAAAATGCAGGAATCCAGCTTAGTATGGACAACAATGATGTAACCCAAGTATAGGTTTACCATCTGGTTAGCCAATCAAGATAGGCTGCTAACAAAGGAAAGGCTTCTGAGGATGCAAATCCCAGTGGCAAATGGATCATGCAGTTTATGTGATCAAGGAAGACTAGAAACTAAGGCACATCTGTTTGCTGAATGTGCATGGATTACAACAGTCAGGAATGGAGTGTCTATATGGCTAGGAATACAACTCCAGGAAAAGGGCATCAGAGAGAGCCTACATTGGATACAAAGAAAGAACTGGAAACAAGCTCAAAGAGAGATGGTCGCAGCCGTGTGGGGTGCTATGATATACCATACATGCAAGCTAGGAATTGAAGAATCTTTAGGAATATAACTATAAATACAGAGTTTACAATAGCAAAGATACAAGAAGAAGTTAAGATTAGACTAGATAGCATGAAAAATACAGGTAGAGCTCGTAGATGTCAATATTTATTTACTCGAATATGTAATTAGAAGAGATCTCTTGAGGCCTAGCAGATACTAGGTGCTCTCTAGGTGTAAAAAGTTTGTTTTTAATGGTAATATTCTCAATTATTACCAAAAAAAAGAAAAAAAATAAGAGAAAGATCAAGTGGGCTTACATTTGCAAAATGATAGTTATACTAGTGTTGTGACATAGACTAGTCATCTAGTAATCTAGGGTTATAGACCTAAACTTTCGTCCTTTGCTCCAAAAGTTGGCTCTTGGAATAGAACAAGACTAATGATCGGAATGGTATTCTATTTGATGGAGGAAGATTTGGTTTTGGTTTAGTTTTATATAATTATACATTTTTATATCGTCTTTAGGCAGAAAAAAATCTACGAAAACAGAATTAAAAAAATATATATTTATAAATTTAGCCATTCTAGAAATAAAAAAATAAAACAGAACATTTAAGTTTTAAAATTTTGAAATTGCACTTAAGCATATAGGTGAGCGAACTGGAGAAACTTATTCGACCTCATGCATGAGAAGTCAAATCACTTGAAAACAGCTCAAACTAGTCATGGAAAAGCTCTAACACTAGGTTTGATCACCCTAAACCACAGGACTTGTATATAATTAAAAATAAAAAATAAACTAGTAGTACATGTTACAGTAAATATGCGTTGCGTGCTACTTATAAGCCACTACTGTCTACTGGCCTTAATGCCTTGAGATATTAAAAAAAAATAAAAAATAAAAATAAAAATAAAAAAGCCTCGAGATATGTAGACACTGAAATTTTAACAGGTCAAGATAAATCCTAAATTAAAAACGACTCTTGAAATATTAGGAGTCTATTAGGGTTACTTAGTGGCTACTACACCCAAACCCTAATTCATGCCTATAAATAAGACTACATATGTCCTTCAAAGACGATCTCAGCAATTTCATAAACTCTCGAAATATGTACAAAGAGATCAAATAAGAGATCTTTGAAATTCCATGAAACTCTTGGAATATTCATGTCAAATATGTCTTGTTCAAAGTCCTACGTTCGACAAATACGCCGCTCGAATCACTTAGAACAAATCGGAGGGAAGAATCAAGGGATAAAAAAAATTGTTCACGCATTGTTTATCAATGAAATTATGTTTCTTCATATTTATATTGTGGTTGCGATTTATTTTTGTATCACAAATAATTTGTTGCAAACAAGATAGATAACGTAAAATTATCTTCTATCTATTGTTAACTCAATAAATAAGGAAAATGTAAAAACAAAAACTAGAGGAAGTGTATGATTTTCTCTTAGATCTCTCTCACAACCTTGTCCTTTCAGTTTTTTCATACAAATACTACTTAGGATAGAGTGCATTAACAATCAACACTTGCTTTTCACAGAGTGTCAACTCTTTTAGTTTAAGGAAGCAAGAAAGCAGGCCAAATCCGGTGTTTAAAGTACTTACAATTTCCCCTTTATTTGTTAATTCAGCAGCCTTAGCAGATAAAGTAGGAACAAATTTTGGCAACCCTATGTGTCCTAAGAGGCACAGTAAACGCTATATTAAATCTTGTTATTACTACCCAAAAAAGAACACTTCCTTTACTTTTATACAAACACCATTACCTTATTATTTGATAGAGTCGAAGAACTGGTAAAACACAAGTGGTCAAGAAAACAATAAGTGATTATAGCATAGTAAACATTTCTTGTATGACTCATGAATAAGGGCATAACGATGACCAAGAAAACAATAAGAGATGACATACATTTAATTAGCATATCGAGATTATTAATTAAACTGTTAGGTCTTCAGTCTTCACCAATAAGGGTTGAAAAATGAACCATGTCCCACGCCCGTTAGATTTGCACGATAATATTGAAGAGGTATATAATATTGAAGAATAAGTAATTCAATCCCAATTTTACATAAAATATTTTATCAGCTTACAAGCACTTTTTTGGCTTATCTATGCGTTAAGTAAAATTAAAAGTGTTTATAAATGAAGTGCTAATAAGCCAAAAATAAGCTAAAAACTATAAGTTGGTCACTCCCAACTTATGATTTTTGAACTTATAAGCACTTTTAGTTTGACTAAAATTTTTACTATTATATCCCTAAAATACTTTTTTATTTAAAACAAAATTCATAACCCATCAATTGTTCGGTCAACTTCTTACCATTAACAATAGTCAGATTTTTCTTGTGCATTATTTAAGTATATTTTTACTAACAAACTTTAGTCAATTTATTAATTAATGTAGGTTAGTTTATTATAAAATAATCGTATCTAATAAAATTTAAAACTAAAAAATAAAATGACATAAAATAATTTCCATATGAAACAATGAATTTAAATCTTGCAATAATCAATTTCTAATTAGTGCAAATAGCTTTTAGGACATTTGAGTCTTAACATAAAAAAGAGCTTATCAGCATGGTTTTACCAAACATTTCAGCTGCTTATTATCAGTTTTAGTACTAAAAAGTACTTTTCAGAACTAAAATACTTTTCAGTTACTTTAAATCAGCTAAGCCAAACGAGCTCAAAATTATAAGAACTATTATTTGTGAGATGTCTAGATATGGTTGCACAGTGGATCGTAACCACGGATGAAAACAAATATTTTTAGCCCGCGCCAGAAACTATTTAAACTTGGTAGTCGAAAAAGTGTATAAAATTTGTATATTTCTTGTATATAACATACAAAATATATATATATATATACAAAAAAAGTAGTACATTATTTTAAGACCGGCTATAAAATGTCATTTCCCCCCTTTTTTTTTTCCTTTCAAATACAAAAAATCAAGACGATAATCCTTAATAATTAAACAACAATAAGTTGATCTATTTTGTAAAAGTAATTAAAACCAAATGAGTAAAACAATAGTATAATTTAGAAATTTGTAGATGATAGAAGAATCTTGAGCTAATCTTCTTCCTTTTCAGATTTTACTCTAGGATCTTTGAAATTGATCATGGGGGATATTATGGTCTTCACATAAACCCCAATACTCTCAACGCCATATAAATTCTGGGTGCCATGAATTATAACCACCGAAAAGCCGATGATTTCCTATCTGAAAGTTGAAGTCCTTGGCATCAGTTGAAGGCGAGGTACACCCAAATGGTTCATAGGAACCCTTGTTTGTTCCAAATTTTATAGAGTTCAACACTGATTTGGAGGAACCACTGATCGAAGTAAGAAATTCTGATGGATAATCAAAAACAACTGCACACGAGCTTTGATTACATATATCAAAACCATGTTTATTTGACGGAACTAACTTGCTATTCTCATAGTACAGGAACTGAAGTGAAAGAATTGCGTTTTTGTTGTATGAACCAAGAACCCCAGCGACTTGGTCTCGTCCCTTATAATCCCAAATGGTTCCACCACTTCTCCCCACTGGGCCAACTTTGATCATATCCATGTTTCTCTCTTGTTTCTGAATAATGGGAAGTAGTTGGAAAATTAAGTTATATATATAGAGGAGTTTTATGTACTACTTGATGCCGTTTCAGCTAGCCTCGTTGGTATTTGTTCTTTTTTATATCTTGGTACAGGAATCTAACGCTTTGTTTCTCTCTTTCAATTTAATTTTGGAATTCAATGAATTTCAGATTCTAATGTTATATCCCTATTATTGACTTAAGTTTTTTTTTTAATAAATCAATATGTCTCTCCATTGATTTAGTTATGGCAAACGAGCGGGTCGGGTCGGGTCGGATATGGGATTGGTTGAAAACAGGTAATGAAAAAACGGATAAATTATCAGACTCAACCCATATTTAATACGGATAAAAATGTGTTAACCGGCCTTCATGAATATGATCACTTTTGGAAGAATTCCTAGTCTTCCAAACTTGAGGAACCCCCAATTTGAGGTTTTACAAATGTAAAAGTTAAACCCATTAGTTATCCAATGGTTATCCATTTTCTAAAATATGGTTCTTATTCATATTTGACTCGTTTATAAAAAGTTCATTATCCAATCTATTTTTTAGTGAATAATATGGGTGATTAATTGTTTTGTTTTAACTATTTTTGCCACCACTAGGAGGAACCTTGTAGAGAGTTTTGAAAATTTTAAGGTTAAGTTAACAAATAACTCTTCTTGGTCATTTAGAAGGTAGAGTACTTATTCTTTCTTTTCTTGGATTTAATGGTATATAAAAATATATTAGTTCACATGCCTTCACTATAAGGCTTATTTGCAAAATATATTAGTACTCTAAACTTGATGCATGAAATGGTCAAATATAATTTCTTCTGTATAAATAACTTTGTCGGATGACTGAAGTTGCTCATTACTAGTGCACCCGTATCAATTTTTGTGTCTTACTGTTTAAAAAAGAAAGTCAGTACGTTTCTAATTCCAGCATGCTCATTTTACTCCTATTGTCATAGGAGTGAAATGACATGTTTAAGGCAACAAAGATTCATGAAATGTTATATACTTTGACTAGTTCAATATTGGAGCTAGGTAAAGTTTGTTTTTGAAAATTTTGTTTTAAAAGTAAGTCAAAATGTACCTCTTTGACGAATGAATATTGAAGAAACATACCCTAAGGGTATGGCAGCTAGTAGTAACCATAAGGTTTTAGGTTCAGATTCCGTAAAGGCAAAAAAAAAAATTTGGTGACTTCTTCATATTTTTCTAAGTCTTGGCAGCCAGAGTTACCAAATAATTATATTGGTGGGATGTAGCACGTCATTAGAAAAAGAACATTAGAGAAACATTGAAGACCGGGATAACAGTCTCTTCTAAGAAGCGGATATAAGTATCGAGCAATAGTTACACGGTAGAATAGTATAGACGTGCTGCAAGCTAGCCCGCACATCACCGTCATAATTATAGTAGTGTGCTGCAACTCATTCCATATTGATTCTAAATTGGATCTGATTGGACAAAGGTGACAATTAAGATGTACTTGAGCTACAACAGTAAAACCAAAAGAGATGGGAAAGGGGGAATAATCAACGATATTTCAGAGAAAGAATGATAGAGAGACGTACCAAAAGCAAATTAATGGAAACCCTTTCTTCTTTGTAATATTCAATTATGTAATTACAAGTTTACATCTCTCTGACATGTCTCTTTTTAGTAGTTATACAATATTCTTTCAGTTTTGGAGTGCGGGCATTAGTTAGCTTGGGTATTTTATCTGTTCTTTCGCATTTTCCTAATCTTCATTAAATGTTTTTGCCAAATTACCATCTTTGTTCTTTGGATTTTAGGGTTGTTGGTTCAGCATCCTCGTTAAAAAAGAGACGCACATAGGCAATTTTGTAAAGTTCATATATANCCAACTTGTCGACTTTCGATGAAACATTGTTTTATTTAATTGCTTTAGCTTCTGAACTGTCCAACCCTCTTTGTACTTGTTGTTCATGATCTTCAATATTTGTAACCTCAGAGGTAACATGATTAACTTACTTTATATACTTTTAAATATTGTCTCATTTTTTTGTCCTACATTAGTTTGCTTACGACGCATTTTTACATACGAAAATATAGGGTGTAAGACACTGGTGGCACTTGCGAACAAAACGAAAGCAATCTCGTTCCATAGTAAGCCAATAATATCCTGCCCAAAGGATTTTCTTTGCTAGAACATATCCATTCATGTGCGGACCACAAACTCCCGAATACACCTCATTCATAATCATTTTAGCTTCTTTGGCATCCACACATCTCAACAAATTCAAATCCGGAGTTCTTTTGTATAGGATTTCCTCACTAAAAAAGAAACCATGAGAGAGTCGCCTAATAGTTCTCTTTTGACCCCTATTAGCATGTTCAAGATATTCTCTTGTTTTTAGAAACTATTTAATATCACGATACCATGGTTCACCATCTGGTTCTGCTTCAATTGTATTGCAATAACAATGTTGATCCCGAATTTGAATTTCTAATGGGTCAATGTGAGTATTACCCGGATATGGAAGCATTGAGGCCAGGGTGGCCAAGGCATCAGCTAATTCATTGTGAAACCTAGTAATGTACCTGAATTCGATGGACTTGAACCTTTTGCTAAGATCCTCCACACATTGTCTATATGGAATGAGCTTGATGTCTCGAGTCTCCCAATCACCTTGAGCCTGCCGAATAAACAAATCTGAATCTCCCATCACCAACAGTTCATGCACATTTAGGTTTATTGCCATGTTTAGACCCATGATGCAAGCTTCATATTCTGCTATGTTGTTTGTACAGAAAAAATGAAGTCGCACCATGGCAGGGTAATGTTGCCCAGTAGGTGATACCGGAATTGTCCCTATCCCTACGCCTTTGATGTTGACAGCCCCATCAAAGTATAGTTTCCAAATTTGACTGTCATCTTGGACTATTTCTCCAACTAAATTAACCTCTTCATCTGAGAAATATGTGTTCAAAGATTCATACTCATCATCAACCGAGTTTTCTGCCAGATGATCAGCCAAAGCTTGTGCCTTCATGGCAGTGCGAGTGACATAAACAATATCAAACTCTGTGAGCAAGATTTTCCAATCTGCTAGTTGGCATCGGCTTCTGAAATATGTACTTCAGGGGATCCATTCGGGATATGAGGTAAGTTGTATAGGCCAAAAGATAATGCCTAAGCTTCTGGGCGACCCAGGTTAAAGCGCAACATGTCCTTTCCAAAAGAGTGTATTTGGCCTCATAAGTGGTGAACTTTTTGCTCAAATAATATATTGCTTGTTCCCTTTTGCCTGTGGCATCATGTTGACCCAGAACACAACCAAAGGAATTATCCATTACTGACAGATATAAAAACAGAGGCCTACCAGGTTCCGGCGGGGACCAAAACAGGGGAATTTGACAAATATTCCTTGATCTTATCAAAAGCTTCTTGGCACCCATCTGTCCACTTGATAGCGGCGTTCTTTTTCAAAAACTTAAAAATAGGCTCACATGTGGTTGTAAGCTGCGTGATGAACCTGCTGATGTAGTTCAACCTCCCAAGTAAACTCATGACTTCTGTTTTGTTCTTCGGGGGAGGCAACTCTCGAATGGTCTTTATCTTGGAGGGATCTAACTCAATGCCTCTTCGACTAACTATAAAACTCAAAAACTTCCTAGAAGGAACTCCAAATGCACATTTGGCTGGATTGAGTTTGAGATTGTACCTTCGTAGCCTTTCAAAGAACTTTTTCAAGTCTTGCACATGGTCAGCTTGTGTTCTCGACTTAATGATCACATCATCAACGTACACTTCAATCTCTTTGTGCATCATGTCATGGAATATGGTAGTCATGGCTCTCATGTAAGTTTCCCCTACATTCATCAAACCGAATGGCATGACCCTATAACAATAAGTTCCCTATGGAGTTGTGAAGGCGGTCTTTTCAGCATCTTTTGCATCCATCAGAATTTGGTGATATCCGGCATAACAATCCACAAAAGATTGGATCTCATGTTTAGCACAATTGTCAACAAGGATATGAATGTTGGGTAAGGGAAAGTTGTCCTTTGGACTTGCTTTGTTTAAATCCCTATAGTCAACACAAACTCTGATTTTCCCATCCTTCTTTGGCACTGGCACAACATTTGCTAACCATGTAGTGTATCGGACGACCCTGATCACATTTGCACTTAGTTGCTTCGTGATTTCTTCTTTAATCTTATCACTCATGTTTGTCTTAAACATCCTTTGTTTTTGCTGGATTGGTGGAAAATTAGGATATGTGGGAAGCTAATGGACCACTAAATCGGCACTCAAACCCGGCATGTCATCATACGACCAAGAAAATACATCTCTGTACTCGAACAAAACTTGAATTATGGCATCTCTCGTCTTTTGTTCAGTATGAATGCTTATTTTTGTTTCTCTGGTTTCTTCAGGACTTCCCAGGTTAATTGCCTCAGTTTCATTTAAGTTAGGCTTAGGCTTATTCTCAAATTGATCCAATTNCTGTACTCGAACAAAACTTGAATTATGGCATCTCTCGTCTTTTGTTCAGTATGAATGCTTCTTTTTGTTTCTATGGTTTCTTCAGGACTTCCCAGGTTAATTACCTTAGTTTCATTTAAGTTAGTCTTAGGCTTATTCTCAAATTGATCCAATTCCCTTTTTATTTCCTTAAGAGCCTCATCTTCGTTATACTCAACTTTTTGATTCATTATTTCGAGATTAGATAGCTTTTTAAGATCTGGGCATGAATTCCGCGTGCATATCATGTTTTTAAAACCAACATTAACGAAACTGAAAATGATAAGAAATTAACAAAAATTAGGGAAATGAAAAGACAAAATTTTACTATGAAACCGGAACTTCATTTCATTGAATTAAAAAGGATAGAAGGGTTAACATCAAAGCAAAGCAATTAAACTAAAATATTTGGATTATAATCCTTAAAATAATCCAAATACAGAAAAAATAACAAAACAGGATACCAAGACTCCTTCCTGATGGGAAGAGGAGTTGTTTCCCAGTTGATGAGCGAGGTATCTGGACCAATCAACTGAACACTTACACGACTAGGGCCCTCCCCAACTTGAACCATATTAATCTCATAGAAAATCTCCTTGAGACCCTGGAAAACTTCATCGATGTCATCCCGAGTAGAAGGATTTTGGACTTCTTCAAATTGTGGCTTGACAAAAGAGTAGGCAATATGAGGGATTGGTTTGGACAGATTCCAACCATTCTTTTTGCGGGCCTTGACTCTATCTATGTCAGCTGGTGTTGGTTTAAAACCCAAGCCAAAGGTATCTTTATTCGAAAAGGGAGTAATGGGGTTCACAATTCCTTGCAGAGAGGATCCTAATCCATTTCCTGGTTCATAGCCATTCCTCATCATCATTGAAGCTACCATCATAGATGTGGCTGAAAGACGGGGATGCAGAATTGGTTTTCCTTCTTCTACTTGGTCCACCTCAATCACCTCAAATGCTTTATATATGATGGATTCACATCCTTCTTTGGCCTCGATACATGGAATGGACATGTCTTTATAGACGGATGAGTTGTCCTCCTCATGAACAATAATTTCTTGCATGTCACATTCGAATTTGACCATTTGATGTAGGGTTGATGGTATAGCTCTGGCCATATGGATCCACGGCCTTTCCAGAAGAAAATTATAGGAAGTTTTCATGTCCAACACTTGAAAGACAATGTTAAAATCAACCGGGCCGATTGTCATGGTGAGTTCGATTTCCCCAATAGTGTCTCTTCTTGAACCATCAAAAGCTCTGATGCTGACATTACTAGTTCAAATTCTGTTAGTGTCAATGTTCAGCTGTTGTAGAGTAGAAAGAGGACATACATCTACACTTGAGCCTCCGTCAATCGTGACTCCTTTTACGTTGTGCCCTTCACATTTGACCATAAGATACAAAGCTCTATTGTGGCCAGCCCCTTCCTCAGGAAAATCATCATCGCTGAAAGTAATTCTATTTACTTCAAAGATTTTTCAGCCATTTTTTCTAGCTGATTCACCATTGTCTTTTCTGAGACATATGCCTCGTTCAGAGTTTTGATCAACACACGGCGATGCTCTTCTAAATGCAAAAGCAGAGATAACAAAGATATCTGAGCAGGAGTTTTCCTTAGTTGGTCAGTGATTGAGTAGTCTTGCATTTTCATCTTCTTAAGAAATTCCTCCGCTTCTTTTTCTGCAACGGGTTCTTTCACTGGTAAGTGACTTTCCATGTCTTGCTTAGCTTTTCTCAATTCCTCTGGTGAATAACACCTTCCAGAGTGGGTCAAGCCCCCCATTTCATCTATTTCTTCAACTATATCTTTTCCTTTATATGTTATAACAGTCTTGTTATAATTCCAGGGAATAGCTTTTGTGTTTGTCACTGGGAGTTGTGCAATAGGTCGGATCACAACTGGCTCTGTTATATTTCTCAAACCATTATTCGGAATGATCTTTTGAATTCCCCCGGGGATGTAAAGTTTTGGCCCACCCAATTGAACCTCAACCTTTTTTGTTTTTCCAGGGACATAGAGAATCATTTTTTCAGAACCTGCCAAGTTCAAACTAGAACTCGCACCTTTCACAATCAACGGTGCCAATTGCGGCGGGCTCACTATCACTTTTGGTTCTTGCTCTATGGTTCCAACAACCATCTCTGTCTTGCCAGACTGCTTATAATCCCGATCATCACAAACCATCATAATAAAATGTGTATTATCATGAGCTGGGAGCGTATTGTTTGTGATATTAGGAGTATCCTCATTGTTTGTTACCACAATTGCCTTTGCTTCAATCAAATTTTCAATGGCTTTCTTTAATGTCCAACAATTTTTGATACTATGACCTTGGGTGTTAGAGTGATACTCACATCTTGCATTGGAGTCAAAACCATTGAATTTGGATTCACATAACGCGGCATGATAGGTTCAATAACCTTCAACTGCATCAACTTTCGATATAGGCTTGTATATAATTCCCCAATTGGGGTGAACGCTTTATTGGGCTCCTGTTCTCTCACATATTCTTGTCGGGGACGAGGATTATATGGCGCCTGAAAATTCGATCGGAGTTGACGGGATCCTTGTGGAATAGGTGCCCTCCATTGCAGGTGATTGAGAGGCCTAGCATAAGCCTGAGCATTAAACACTATGTATTGTTGTGGGGTAACTGAGTACCGGGGACCCTGAGGTGGATAGTAATGTTGAGGAGAATTGGATTGTCCTTGTTGGAATTGCACATAAGAAGGAACTATTCCTCTTTGAATTCCCTTGAACCCAGATGCCATCATGGATCCTTCCTCTTTCTTTTTTCGATTTCCGAAACTGTCTGACCTGGTTTGAATTGCTTGCATGGCCGCCTTAAGGGCTTCCTGGCTCACAATTTTGCCCGACTTCATTCCATTCTCAACTATTTCACCAATCTTAATCGCCTCAGTGAAAGGTTTACCAATGGAGGCCAACATGTAATGGAGGTAATCAGGATCCTGAGCTTGGAGAAAATAGTCAATCATTTCTGCCTCTTTAATTGGTGGTTTGACGCTAGCAGCCTGCTCTCTCCACTTGATTGCATATTCTCTGAAGCTTTCTGTTGGTTTCTTCTTTATGTTGATGAGAGAGTAGCGGTCAGGAACTATATCAATATTGTACTGAAACTGTGGGACAAAATCTTGAGCCATGTCGTTCCAAACGTGCCAGTGAGATATGTCTTGATCTATGAACCACTCTGAAGCAATTCCTGTCAAACTTTCCCCAAAATAAGCCATGAATAATTCTTCTTTGCCCCCTGCTCCCCTTAATTGGTTGCAATACCTCTTCAAATGGGCAATGGGATCACCATGCCCATCATACTTGTCAAACTTGGGGGTCTTGAAGACGGGTGGCAAATGAACATGGGGGAACATGCATAGATCGTTAAAAGAAACACTCTTGTGGCCTCCCAAACCTTGTATGTTTCTCATGGTTTGTTCCAGGCTCTTCATTTTTTTTATCATTTCCTCTTGTTCCATATTCTTGTCGGGCTTTGCGATCTCAATTGGGAACACGTTCTGAGGAGTATGCTTGTATGAATCTGGAATCTTGAAAGCCAGTTCTAGAGAGCAATGTTGGGCATCATGAGCATTCAGTTGTGGATCATTGTTGGACTTTTGAGCAAGAGTCGGTTGAGGAACAGTGAAAGTAGGGACAATGGGTACAGTAGGTGGGTCATTTCTGAGGGGTGCGGTTGGAGGACGTGGAATGGAGGTACTGGGGATAGTGGGAAGGTTAATGCTCAGACTAAATTCAGGTTGGTACAATGGGTTACTTGTTATGGAGATGGGCACTTGATTTGCAACTGATACATTATGACGATTATCCGAAGGCGGCGGTGCATGTCCATTCACTCAGGCTTGGTACATCTCTGCCAATTGTTGTTTCAAGACTCTTACTTCTTCAACCAGTCCTAAACCTAGTTCAACCAATTGTCCATGGACATCATCATTATCTGACTCATTCTCACTGTTGTTTGCCATTCTACTTTTTTCTTTTGATCTCGTATTGTAAGGGTGAGTCGCCAGTTTAAACCACAAACCAACCACCTCTGTTTAACTTTATCTTTTAAAATGACAAACAACAAACGTGTTAGAGTTAGGCATTTTGCAGATATTAATCACACATTATATGTCATGCACCTAATGCCATTTTCATTTCTAAAATGATCTTGGAAGGCTTCATGCTTCATCTCGGCTTATTGATTTATTGGTTTATTTTCATTTTGAATTTAACGCTCTTTTTATTTTATTTTATTTTTCTCTTTTTTTCCAGATTAATTATGGTTATAATCGCATCCGATGAGGATTGCCTACATATCATGACGCCCCATGAATCAGACCATTACGTAGTTCAGGGGGAAATAATAATAGTCTTTTTTGTTTTAACAAAACAAAATAATACAATAACAAAAAGGACATTACATTGAAAATGACTTACCAGACTCTGACAAGACTAAAAGACAATGATTTTAAAGATTCAACAATGACTCAAACTAAAACATAACTACTACATGAAAGGTTCTAACACCTACGACTATATTTCAACTCCAGAATCTTCTTGCTTTCAACCACTGGAACATATGCTCATGGTGGGGCTTGCCCTGGTTGACCCCCTAATGTACGGTACATCCTTTCTAACTCTTCTGCAAGATGACGAGAAAAGTAGGTGCATGCTCCAGAAACTTCTCATAATCCATCCCTTGGAAATTCACATAACTTTGAGCGGTATAAACAGCCAAATCATGGACTTGCTCTCTAAAGTACTAAAAAATCTGGTCTCGATCTTGTAACTGCTGCTGGCGAGTGGTGGTTATCTCCCTTATGTGGCCCTCGCGATCTAAGGCTGACTCCAACTGAGCCCGAAGTCTAGCCTGCTCGAGTCTCGCCTAAGCCATCTCCCTATCAAAATCTGCATGCTGGTATTCTCTATTGTACCTTCTCATTTCTTCCAACTGTGCATGGAGCTCAGCTTCTGAACGTACCCAATGGGCCTTCTCTCTCTCTCTCTCGAATTGAGCCCTCTCTTCTTCAAATTTTGTTACTTGGCGATCCTTACTTGATTCGGCCTTCTCATTTAACTGTACGATCTTTTCCTTGGCTTTGTCCAACGCCTTTTCAGTCTTTGCCAAGAGGGAATCATAATCTTGCACATTTTTCATCAGATTGGCAATGGTTCTCTGGTCTTTCCAACTTCTCACTGGCACTTCAGAGGCTTTCTTCATCTGTTGAAGTTGGGCACGAAGGGCTTCATTTTTGCGGATCAAACTCTTCTTTTCCCCTTCGGCTTCTTGTTCTTGCAAGTCTTTCTCAAAATTGAGGTTTCTTAGCCTTTCTTCTAAGGCATGAATAGTTGCTTTGTATCCCTTTTCCCTTTCACCCCAGGCCAACCGTTCTTGGATTTTATCATCAAAGGCTTGAACATGCAGCCTTTTGTGGGCCTTTTGGGCTCAGGCTCTGGTAAAACACTAGACACATTTCTTTTTTTTAGTTTTTTTTTGTAAAAATGGGGCCGAACCCTATGAAGGTTGCCTACGTATCTCACATCCGGTGAGAATCAGACCCGTGTAGTTAGTAAATATTTCAGGAATAGGATGACACTTTTTTGAAAAATTCAGGCTTATACTTTTTGGAGTAAATACTGAGATTTTCGAAAACCAGGTAAATTTTCTCCCTCATATTTTCTTCTTTCTGGTTTTCCTCAATATTTTTATATTTTTATTTTATTTTCAGAAATCAGTCAACATGCACAAACCAAATAAAACATAATACACAAGTAGCACATAAGATGCATCGGGATGGTCATGTAATTCTCAGGTACACCTGTCCTAGACGGACCCAACCCCTGTGTTGAGTCCCCAAAGTCAAATGCACATGATGCAAACAAACATCCCTACTAGGGATCCTGCATGAGGCTATGCTATTCTAGGTTTAAACCTGGGGGCGTGTTCTAGACATGGTTTACCCAAGCGGGCAACTCGAGCCGAGGTGGGAGCAATATACCGGGAGCACGAAAGTCTAACCGGCCTAGTTACTGACGCAACCTCGTTCTAATTGGTATGACTTCTAACTGAAAAGTGGGTCACGCGCACGTGTGCACCATAAATTCAGAATACTCAGAAGGGAGGCGTAAGAAGACAATTTAATACAATTCAAATAATATCAAAGCGGTAATTAGCACATTAGGCCCAAAAATACAATAATAACATCAAATCAATAAAGCCAAGTATATATCACATTACAAGCTCAAATTCTGAACCATGAACCAGAGATTCTGGGTCCGCTCCCCAGCAGAGTCGCCAGAGCTGTCACACCTCCTTTTTCCCGAGGGATAGGGAGTTTTTCCAATTTAAGTGACATTAATCGAAATGGGATTATTTATTAGATCAGAGTTGCCACTTGGAATAATTTATAGTGTCCCAAGTCACCAGTTTATTTTAAAATCTCAAATCGAGGAAATTGACTCTGTTTAAAGTCTGCAAAACCAGAAGACCGGGTAAAGAATTCTGTTAATCCGGGAGAAGGTGTTAGGCATTCCCGAGTTCTGTGATTTTAGCACAGTCGCTTTTAATCATACCTGTCTTATTTAAATTGTTTTAATTACTTATTTTAGAACCTATGTGCATTTTACCTTTTACCGCTTTTAGATTGCTTGATTATTCGTAATTATGAAATTATCTTGAAATGAGTCACGCGTACGTGTACTCATTTTGTTTGGTGTGTCACGAATCATGTCACGCATACGTGTACACAATTAATAACACTTTATTATTTTTAAGATTGTTTCGCCCAAAGTTGCGCGAACGCATACCTTAGTTTTAATTTTGGGAATCATAATTATGTCACGCGAACGTATACATAATTACGATGATTCAATTAATTAAGAGCGCACCTAAAAGCATACTTGCTTATTCATTGTTTGTTTCTTTGCTACATTTGAGATTGTTGTCAGGCCATGATTTATGGATATGGAATTATTTTGATGAATGAAGTACTTTTGAGGGGGTTAAGTGTACCAATAGTTTAGAGCAGGTATGAACATTTGTTATCTATGGAAAAAATGGGTTAGCATTATTTATTCGCTATTATGCCGCCATATGGATACTAAAGGAAATGGGCTTGGAAAAGTTTATTTGTCCCCTATTGCAGCAAAGTAACATGATAAGAATCAATCTAATACCGAAATGGTAGGCTCGTTTGAGGCCCAAAAAATTAAATCTAAACTCTCAAAATTCCTCTTAGCTCTACAAAAACTATCTAAATTTGAATTATTTAAAAGTTTATTAGATGATCTAACAAAATAAATCATACTTTCCTTGAAGTAAAACGACAGACGTGGTAATGAAACAAACAGTAGTTTGATATGAGCTCACTCAAATAATATGCATATGACATAATACTTCAAAGGTCAAATTCGTTCCAGATCTTGCTAAAAACCCCAACATCTCATCTTATTTGTTCACCAATTTTTCAAATTTTCAAACCGTATGGTAATCTAAATACCAACATGAGAGCAGATAGATCAAATCACAGATATTTTTATTGGTTTAAAATAACTAAAAAAATCAAAACCCAAATATAATGGGTCATGAAGTAGATTCAATGTTTTATAAACCAAAAGATGCCACCATGCAAATAGACAATCATTATTCCCCTTAATATTATGCATTCTAAACCTATTTAGTAATTCATCTCCAAAAACTAATCCTTCAATATAAACAAATAAACTGAATTATAAAGCCAAATTCATTTCATGCTTTATCACATAATCCAAATCGGACACATAAAATTGGGATAGAAATGATTAAGATATGGATCCAATATTCAAAAGAGTATAAGAGACAAAATTTAGAAGGCAAAGCAAGTAATGAACCTTTAACGTAGAATTCAAATTATCATCAATATTTGACTAGTGAGATAACTTCCGACCTTGGAACTTTGCAACAAATATGATGTATGAAACTTGAGCAGTGATTGAAGAACTGAACCACGACCGGAGACCTATTTCCTTGATTGTTTTCGTTCTCTATCCCAAGAAGAAAATGAGTTCCTTTTTTGTGGTATTTTGATGGATGATTCTTTTTTATCTGATTCCTTTCCAATGTTTTTTCTCTCTTTTTTTTTTCTTCGTGAGTTTTTTCTTTTATAAAGAAGAACAATGGTAGTTATCAAGTCTTGTGCCAAGGAGTTGAAGTGAACAATGGTAGTTATCAAGTCTTCGGGTGTGGTCAAACATTAGTTGTTCACAACTACGATGTGCTAGAATGAATATGATGATAGAGTTCCTACCCAATATGTTCGATTATGGAATAATGCTTCTTCTTTGACATGCTTGAACCTACAAATGTCGATAGATTTACTACAAACAGGAATAACGAGGTTCGAGATTAGACTGGAATTATTCAAGAATCCATCAATGTAACGAGAAGGGCATTTCAGGAGGTTATATCCTAAGAGACATAAAGGTTACTACAAATAGCGCTTGCATGGTTAATCATCATAATGACATCATTGGTTAGAAAGGTTCTAATGGGTGATATGATGCTTCGGGGAGAAAGACCATTAACTCCTATCCACCCAGGGATGTGGAACATTGAGGATAGTAAATTCTCCACACATGACAATGACATAGTCAATGATTCTACAAGCCGAGTGTTTAAAGGTAAAGGAACCAAGGGAGACACTATAAAATAATCATGGAAGGTTTGTAGATGTTCATAATGAGTTCACCATGGATTTTATGACTTGAAAAGTACCCATACGCTACCAGAGGATGGGAAAAACATAAGAAGCAGACATGATACTATGATAACCCCAAAGTTGCATTTGGTCTTGACGGAGAGCCTATTAAGGACCCTTATGAAAAAGGAAGTGTTGCAGCAACATATAGAAGGGTGCGATCTCTCATGGTTATCCAACAATGTCAGGAAACTAGCACAATGAATTCACTAACTAAGGAACACAGTTAATACATGTTTAGAGGT